CATCAAGCTTGGTCACTTTAACCCGCATGATTGGAAATGGTTTCTTCGGCTATCGTGCTGTTTCCTCGATCCTGGTGACACTTTAACCCGCATGATTGGAAATGGTTTCTTCGGCTATCGTGCTGTTTCCTCGATCCTGGTGGAGACGTAATAGCTTAAAGTACAGATGAGAACCATTATGTTAAGTTCCAAAAGAGCGATAATTTATTCGATTTTAGTTTTTGAGGTCTATATTGAGTGTTACATAAACAAACCTGGCATGATCTGTGTAATTTTTTGGTGTTATCAAAATACATGCTCTCCGGTAGCTTGGCGGTAAGCTTGAAGGCTTATAATGCTTAAATTCGGGGTTCGATTACTGCAATGAGCACAGTACAGATAGCCCATTGTGTAGCTTTATGCTTAACAACAAACAAATCCAAAACACTTATTTCTTCGTAATTCAATTCACTAAACATATGGGTTGCTAAGTTTCACATGACGTCATATTTGAAGTTCGTATACCGATTTCCACAAGGCTTAGTTGTATTACAGATCTGTGAATGATTACGGAAAACGGCCATGCATTAATTTCCTTCCGACTACTTACAAAATGTTTAGCAATATTCTGATATCACTGTCTATTTCAACATGAAGTCTTGTAACTTGTTTTGTTATAACGGAAACTGAAGGTACGACATTAGGACACATATCTTCATTACCATACAAAAGTTAAGGGAACGTTACTATAAAAAAAAATAACAGTAAGTAGACAGAGTTGATAAAAGTAGACGACTTCAGTGATCCAAAACACAGAAACTTGCCGATCACATAAGTAAGTATGTTATTGGATCAAAAGTTATCCATCTTTGTTAATGTCCAATTAAGCCATGAATGCTAACATCACACCCTTTCCTTCGAACAAGAATATTGTGAGGGGGATTAATGGCGGATCATGGTCCTTTCACGTGCAAGAACGCGCAAGTAAAAGCAGAAAATTGATTGATATGATGCAATTTACCTGATAGTTAATTGGACAGACTGTGATGGAAATGTTTCATAACTCAGTGCTAGTAGACTTTTCTTTCATTTTATTCCTTTTCGCTAATTTACCGATGACCTCGTGTTATCTTTACCAAAAAGGATCAGGAACGTATTTCCTCGAATCCAGTAAATAAAGGAGATATTTTTGTTGTACATTTGAAAGAAAAATGTCTAATTTAATGAGGCAGACTTGCGCTAAGTATTTCGCACAAAACACTCACACTAGTAATATTTCGCATATTTTATTGATGATGTTTAGATGATTTTCGGAAAGTGATTATTTGTGATAGATTTATTAGTTAAAATAATCTTTGCTGGATGTTTTTAATTTATAATAATTTTCTACACTTTCCTATTTTTCTTCAATTTATTATGTTAAGCTTGAGATAGAATATTTTATAACATATATCTATATTCTTTAGCAAATTAACGAAGAAACTGATTTTTTAATATTTCACATTATTTACGCTTTCAAATAAATTACCATTTTTGCAACGAACACTGTAACAAAACGTTGTGTTGTAAATTAACACAAACATTGTGTTATTTCACAACAATAGAAATAGTTTTTTTCCAAACACAGACTTATTGTAATACAATTAATTCTTGTGACAATATAAACACAAAAGTTTTTTAACAATACAAATGACGTGCGGATTTCAGTTCATAATTGTGTTTATATAAATACTTTGTTGTGTTATGAAGTTACATTTTTATGACGAGTTCCGGTTTAAACCGTTCAGGTGTAGTACCTGGTGGAAACGAAGAGCTCTTTTATACTATTGTTTTTATGCAATGTTTAATTGTTAATTTGTTTATTTATTAATATTATTATGTGTATGTAAATTTGTATAAAATTTAACACAAAGATTGTGTATCAGCCAGCACAGTTATGCTGTAGATTGTTAGCCAATAATGATTATGTTGTTTTAAAACCAGACCTACACTTTTGTTGTTTCTAACACAAGATGTTTTAAATTGATGTTTAGATTGACTGACAGCATTAAATTATAAAATAAGGAGCACATATAACCAAGATATTTAATTCATATATCTTTTTATAGGAACGAAACAAAAAACGCAGGCTTAAGAAAAATATCACAGTGTTAAATAATCTTTTCAGCATTAAAGTTATATATATATAGATCATCTAGTTCAGGACCTTTCAAACAATCAACCGTAAAAATATAGTGCGTGAAGTTGTAGAACAGGTAGTTCAGGACATTTCAAACAATCAACCTAAAAATATAGTGCGTGAAATTGTAGAGCAGGTAGTTCAGGAAGTTTCAAACAATCAACCTACAAATGTAGTGCGTGAAGTTGTAGAACAGGTAGTTCAGGAAGTTTCAAACAATCAACCTACAAATATAGTGCGTGAAGTTGTAGAACAGGTAGTTCAAGAAATTTCAAACAATCAACCTAAAAATATAGTGCGTGAAGTTGTAGAACAGGTAGTTCAAGAAGTTTCAAACGATCAACCTACAAATGTAGTGCGTGAAGTTGTAGAACAGGTAGTTCAGGAAGTTCCAAACAATCAACCTACAAATGTAGTGCGTGAGGTTGTAGAACAGGTAGTTCAAGAAATTTCAAACAATCAACCTAAAAATATAGTGCGTGAAGTTGTAGAACAGGTAGTTCAAGAAGTTTCAAACAATCAACCTAAATATATCGTGCGTGAAGTTGTATAACAGGTAGTATAGGAAGTTTCGTAAACAAGCATATATGTAGTGGGTGAAGTTGTAGATCATGTAATTCGGAAAGTTTCGTAAACTACCTACATATATCACTGTACGTACCTAGCGAAATGATATTGTTAACCATATTCACATAGATTATAAAATGCCAGAGAAGTTGGCTGTTCTGGAAGCTTGTCTGGCCCAACTGAGACTCGTCTTTACGAAAGACCCCCTTGCGAGATATGTAAAATTTAAACTTATTGTGCACAGAGAGTCCTTGTGATGACATAACTCCCAACTCTTGTAGACCTAGAGGACCGCCCCGATATTCATTCGTAGCTCGTGAAAGGGCCACATGCGAACAGGCCCCCACCCTCAAGGAAGTCAGCAACTAGAGATTCTCTATACCCCAAACCCAGTCACATTTCTTACTAAAAAAAAGAAAAAATATATTTTTCATATTTATTTTACATTTTAATGTATTTTCCCTACTTACGTACCTTAGTAGGGTTGAGCTGTGGAGGGAAGGGGGGGGGGAAGGCCAAATATTCTTGTCTCAAGGCCTTTATAGGCGTCGGCCACTTAGATCACATCGTTTAACACACTGGTTTTCAAACTTTACAAAGTCATGGAACCCTCTCATTTCATTCCTTCCGTCACAGAACCCTAAAGCCTAGCCTAGATGAAAGTGAACAAGTTCGTAACACTATTGTTTATATAAAATTGTAAATAGACATACAAAAATATTACAGCGAACATCAACTGAATCATGATTTTGAAAATACGTTTAGTCCCTGAAGGGTTGACACGCAATAATTAAAAACAAAACATACCACAACCTGTTTTCTTTGTGAAGAACCCCTGAATACCACTGAGCATGGGCGGCCGAATGGGGGGACTATTCCCTCCTGGAAAAATGAGAAACATAATTCTTACTTTATTCATTCAGCACACGTATATATATATATATATTTTTATTCAATTCACAATTTCACACCACTTTGCCCCCCACCCCCTGGAAAAAGTTCTGCGGACGCCCTTGCGTAAACAAAACTCGTAAAAAAAACACCTTATTTTTTCTGCTCACACTTTTTTAACATTCAAAGCAATTTTTAATACTTTTATCAATGTAACACGCCTTTCTTATAGTTGAATGTTTTACTATTTACAAGTTAGATCTGTTAGAAGAAATATATTACATTATATACATTTAAATTGTG